GTGTTCTTTTAGAACAGTTTCAGGATGTTTTTGTAAGAAATGACTATGCTTTCGGTAATGTCACCGAGGTGCGTAACAGAATATTAACTGGAGAGGCTAAGCATATTAAACAGAAAATAAGGCGTACAACACCGGAGTTTGCAGCTTGAGAAAAGATTAACTTGGAGAAACTGATTCATTAGACCATATTTTTTCTAATTGGGCTTCCGCAAGAGAGATGGTAGTGCCCGATGGTGCGTAGATTAGCGAGCATTGAATGCCGTTACCAAGGATATATATATACCAGCTGTCATTGGTCATTGATTTCTTATCGGTACGCTTGCTGGTTTTGAAAGCCAAATGCCAATTTGCCCTAATGGCAAATGCCTCTTGAACATGTGGCTTTATAACAAAATATGGCCTGTTTGAATTGTGAAGTATGGAGTTATGTGCTTTGCAATGCGTCAACAATATATGATCGTTCAATGAGTTTAGTTGCTGTCGTCTTGTTTATCATTTGAAATTGTCCTGTTCTTTCTATAAGCCCAAAATGATTTCGATGTATGATGTTATGCACATAGTCGTCTGTCCGTCTGTTAGCAGGTTTCATGTCCGGTCTGTATGTTTTGAACTGGTGGCAGGAAATTGAAACTTCTTGGCAAAATGTTTACCATAATAAGACGATATACAGAGGTTATTTACCCTCTTAAGGTAAAGTTCAAAATTACACTAAGTCGTTTTGAATCAGTTTTAAAATTTGGCGTTTGATCTGTGTCTTTTGAACACCAATAGCAAAAAATATTTTTTACATCAAAATTGACCGCGCCCTCTCCCCTGATTGCTTGGTTTATATAGACTAATATAGGAAAAATATATTAGTTTCATTCTGTGAAACCACACTGTCTAGAGCCAATATACATTTTGGACCATGAAGTGTGTATAATATTCTTACTTTTTTCCCGGCACGTCTTTCAGACAATGCAACTTGTGATAAAAAAAGTCATTGATAGTTTCCAGACATGAATCATGAAAATTCATTTTTTCGTGTCCTGCAGATAATTTGTATGCTTCTTAGCTAACCCTTTGTTACATGTTTGCCTTAGCCGTCATCTATCTTTGTCAGGATGCTTGTCTAGGTAATTGTTCGGATGAGTTCGAACATAGGTCATCTAGGTCACAGGAACTTACAATAGAAAAACCTTGCTAACACTCTAGTGGCTACTGTTTTGATAAAAAATGTTCTGAAAATTGGTTTGACAATTTGCTTTGATGATTTGTAGGTCAAGTTCGAATTTTGGTTACATGGGTTCAGACACTAGGTCGCACCGCCTAAATATAGAAAAACATTGTTAACACTCTAATAGTCACATTTTTTACTTAATAATTGTCATTTGTAATTTCTTATGCCGAATTGAATTTTGATATCAACTGACTTACTTTTGACATTAATGGTATCGTTTGACCTATTTTCTTGTCTTTTTGTAATTTTAAAGTACATTGTACAAACTTGAAAATTAGGACCAAGGATGCAATTTCTGATGCAGAATCGAATTTTGATATCAGCTGACCTACTTTTGATTTTTTTTATATCATTTAACCTACTATCTTGCCTTTTGACGTACAAACATGGAATTTGAACCATGGATGTAATTTTTTTTTGGATATAATCTGACCTACTTTTGATATTTTTGATATCATTCGACCTTCTTTCTTGTTTTTAGGCATACAGATTTAAAATTTGGAACATGGGTGTAATTTCTGATGTCGAGTTGATATAATCTGATCTATTTTTGATATTTTTTTATATCATTTGACCTTCTTTTTTGACAAACAGAGTTGAAATTTGGACCAGGGGTTTATATTTTATGCTTAATTGAACTGTGATATCAGCTGATCTATTTCTAATATTTTTGATATTGCTTGACCTACAATAAATGATTGGTCAAGTGAGCGATCTTGTGCCATCTTGGCCATCTTGTTATCCCCCGCCGAAAAATTTCGGCGGATGATATAGAAATAGTCTCCGTCCGTCCGTCCGACCTTCCGTCCTTCCGTCCTTCCGTCCGTCCGTCCTTCCGTCCGACATTTTTGTCCGGAGCATATCTCTAAAAGTATTTGAGTTATCAACTTGAAACTTCATAGGTGGATAGACCTCATTGAGGAGGAGTGCAGTGCACAAGAATGATAACTCTAGCTTGCATTATTTTTGAGTTATTGCCCTTTGTTATTTTTCAAAATTGATTTTTGTCCAGATCATAACTCCAAAAGCCTATGAGGTATTAACATGAAACTTCATAGGTGCATATATCTCAGTCAGGAGGTGTGCAGTGCACAAGAATGATAACTCTACCTTTCATATTTTTTGAGTTATTGCCCTTTGTTATTTTTCATACCTAATTTTTCACCTGAGTGGAGCATAACTCAAAAAGTGTTTGAGATATCAACATGAAATGTCATAGGTGGATAGATCTTATTGAGAAGGAATGTTGTGCGCAAGAATGATAACTCTTCCCGATACAATTTTTGAGTTATTGCCATTTTTTTCATGCTATTTTGTCCAGAGCTTATCTCAAAAGTATTTGAGGTATCAACTTGAAACTTCAAATGTGGATGGATCTCATTGAGGAGGAGTGCAGTGCTTAAGAATGATAACACTACCCTGCATTATTTTTGAGTTATTGCCCTTTGTTATTTTTCAAAATTATTTTTTGTCCAGAGCATAACTCAAAAAGCCTTTGAGATATCAAAATGAAACTTCATAGGTGCATAGATGTCACTCAGGAGGTGTGCACTGCACAAGAATGATAACTCTACCTTTTATAATTTTTGAGTTATTGCCCTTTGTTCTTTTTCATACTTAATTTTTCAATTCAATTTTTTTCTCAAAAAGTATTTGAGGTATCAACTTGAAACTTTATAGGTGGATAGATTTTACTGAGGAGGGATGCAGCACACAAGAATGATAACCTACCCTGCATTATTTTTCATTAATTGCCCTTTGTTATTTTCAGCCATCAGTATTCACATAGGTTTCAAATCTAATCACTATAGCCATCAGTTTTCATTACCAAAAGACCTCTTAAAATGGAATTATTCCGCTCTACTACATATACATTCTTCCAATGAGCAAACACATTCGGCGGGGGATGGCCATGTTGACATGGCTCTTGTTTATATTAGCATCCATGTCCTAGAATGAACGTTATAAAGCCTCCGACTTTAAAAACACATTCAAAATTTTATGAACTTAAGCTGTAGTATTTCAATATACCTGTGATATGGTAAAATAATTAAATGTCTTCTTAAAATTTATAAGACATATAAAGGTACCAATGTTGTTATCGATCAAAGCCTTTTTCTCTGAAAGAGAGTAATTCTTTGACTACTTTTCCAAACGGTCCTCCATAGTAACATATTAAACACATTTTGAAGAAGGGTGTTAAAAGGTGATATTTAATTGAGGGCATTTAAACTCATTTGGCACAAAGCAGTTGACCAAAAGCAGTTTGCATTTAACCGTCGTCTGTAAGCATCAAGCAGTAGACAGTAAATAGTAGGCCTCGTTTACGGAATTTCGTAGGACAGAGCATGATTCTCGGGCGTACTGTAAATTCAATTTGTTTTGGAAAATCATAGGAGGTTCAATGCGTAGATTCTCTTTCTTTCTTTTATAGCTAAAACCTGATTTAAACATTCTGGATATTTTTAGGGGTTAAATAACTAAGATCATCCAAATAGTATTTTATATAGTAAGCTTGCTATGTTTCATGAATGCCTTTACCTTAACATGTTTTTGACACTTTTGTTCACATAAAAACCAAAATCAGCCATTGCTCTTTTTCTCTTCGGTATATTAATTACTGTATTTATTTTCAAAATAATTATCTTAATTTTTTCTGTGTGTTTATCCCTTCCTTTCAGGATATGTTGCAATGATTTCATTAACTCTCAAGGTAGCCTTTCAGTAAAAATTATATTATGTTGTGAAAAGGATAACTCTAGTTTATCAAATCACACTTTAAATGTCCTAGTTGTCTGCCTATCAAAAAGTGGTAACGTTATTTTTGGTAAGAAGTGTAAAACCTTGTTTGTTCCAAAAAATAAATTTCTATAGGTTTCCCATTTCGATCATACGATATTACAATGCAAATAAATGACGTGCATTATAAAAGTATGCTAAGTGTTCTTAACTCTAAAAGCTTTGAAAGTAAACATGATAGTTACAAAACTTCAGTTTTATTGCTTAACAATAAATCATAAATTTTATGAGATACATGTATGAAGTTAAAAAGGCAGTATTAACGAAAGCGTCCTTTTAATGTTCTTTCAGTGGGAGTTATAAAAATGAAATAGGATTTTGCAACTGCTAATTAGGAGTAAAACAATCATAGTTGGGATTTGGTTACTCTTATTAAGAATTTTAAAAGACTAATAAGGACATACCGAGTTTATCCTTTAAAATGCTTTTGTTATCCTTTAATACGTTTTACTTTAATTATAAGTACATTTTAAACTTTGAATAAGAAGAAAAAGTAATGGTTACTTATATAGGCGTTACTAGTACTTTGCAACTTCTATTTAGGACATTTTACTCCCTATTTGGAGCCAACCAAGCAATAAAAACATTATAAACTATTGTTAAGGAAAGTAGCTATAATTATTAAAAGGTTATAAAATGAAGATAATTCGACATTTGCCGTGTTAACTCTTCTCCTAATAAGAAGTCCACATAAGGCTTTTTCTCCCTCTTATTTAGACCTACTTTTCTCCTAAGTATGCATTAACTCTTTTTTAGGAGCAATAAAGTCCTAATTAGGTTTTTTAGTATTGCACATTAGGAAATATGAAGATTTGGCCATAGAATGTTCCTCTAGATATTCATTCAAAATAAAAATAATGATAGACAATAACTTTTAACCAAGTAACAAATCAGTTTGGCCTACCCGTTAAGATGATTATATTTTTCGTTTGTTTGTTATTTCATTGGTTTGTGTAAATAAACGTAAAAATGTATGTATTTATAACATGGTTACAACCGATTTTTAAGTTAACAATAGTTCAATCTATTTTTAATATGTTTTCAAAATATATCTTCAATTCCATGTAATCGGAAAATCGCCATTAGGTTTGGAGTTTGGATAATTAAAAATCTTGGTTTGTGGTTGTAAATTGTAAGTATGTTAGTTTTAATAAATATTTATAATAAGATAAAATTTTAAAAGGAACAATTAGAACTACGATTACTGTATAATATTCTATGTAATTATGTAATACTTGTTAATATCTTATTGACAATAGTTTACCATGTTAACGGATGGAAAACGGAATCCCTAAAGAACGTCCAAAACAACAAAATTGAAAAATTTTGCAGACTTAGTTAGTTGAACCTGTTCATGGTTGGTACTTGAAAATGTAAGTTACTGTTCACCCCCCTAGCAGCAGCTAAAGCAGAATTAATAATATAATGGTGAAAGTTTTGAATTTAGAAACATTTACAGTTGTGTTCATAAGGCGGTTATCATGGAAACTTCAATTTCACACCTTCGTGCACATCATTGAAATGTGGTGTATGGTCCCAAAGATAAAGAAAGCGTGTGTCCTAAACGAGAAAATAATGGGCAAAAGTGTGCAAAATGTAATTTTGATTCTGAAAGGAGATCAGAGATTATTAAGCCTGTATATCAACAGACACAAATAAAAAAACAGGCACCATATTGTAAGGGTGGTTATACGATATTCAATCATGAATACATGATTCATCTAAACTGACAAAGGTCAAATAGAAGGAAACTAAAATACCACAAACATGTACACACAACGATTAAGTCGCGCGAGCGATCTTCAAAGATTGCAAATATAACATTATGATTAAATGTACGGGACAACTATTTACGTTGCATTCTTTGGCAAATTTTTAATGGCGCCTGCGACTGAAAGTTTGAATTAATACTATCAGTAGTTATTGTGAGCGTAAAATCTAAAGGCTAGTTCACAAGTTTTCTGTCGGGATAAATTGAATGCTTCACCATCACTAGATGTTTTGCTTTTATACAATTACTATCAAATTGGTTGTCCGTCATTGAGCATTTTCGTGTTCGATTTTTGAACCGTTGAGAAAGGTATTAAAACTGCGACTACTATTATTATACAACGTATACAACTCAGATTAACTAGGAGTCAGTTTGTCCATCCAGTCATCGGGACATCCTAATGGGGTTATAACTGAGACATTATTCAAGGATCCTACTTCAAAGCTTTATAAATCATATTCTCTAAGAATCATAGTATTCCTTTGCATATTATATGAGTTCATGTTTATTTTGGTTATATTATATACTTATTTTTGTTTAAAAACATACTTTTAAATAAATAAGATGCATTAACTAGAAATGTGACTATAGGACACGGGTGCCCCCACATCCCACTGCTTTGTCAATCTACTGATGTTTTTCAGCTACATGTGACACAAGTTTAAAACTGAAAATCTTTTACTAAGTAAATGACAAAAACTCTTATTACTGAATAAATCCACAACCAAACCCCAAGGTACATAACTACACATGCTAACCAACATTCTTGTATACTGTCATGGCTATAGGTCAAATACTTTGTAAGCTATGCATGAACAATTCTATAATTTATGCAAATTTTGAATAAATCGACACACAAACATCCAGGTGCACAACTACACATGGTGATGAACAACCCTGTAAAGTTTCATGACTATAAGTCACATATGTTTTGAGCTATGTGCGACACAAGTTGAAAATTGTAAAATTTTTCTAAGCCAAGAACCATAACTTTAACAAAACAGAATAAATCCACAAGCATAAATAACAACATGTATACAATTTTACATACAACATTCCTGTAATGTTTCAAGACTCTAGGTCAAAACCTTTTTGAGCTACGCGCGACACAATGTGAAAAAAGGCAATATTTTACTTAATCAATGTAATAACTCTACAAAAACTAAGTAAATCTACACGCAAACATCCCTTTGCACAACTTCACGTGCTGATGAACTTTCCTGTAAAGTTTCATCACTATAGGTCAAGTATTTGTTGAGCGACACAAGTTGAAAATTTAAATCTTTACTAAGTCAAGGGCAATAACTCTGACAAAACAGAATATATCCACAATTATATTTTCAGGGGCAAAACTTCACATGCTGAGCAACATTCGAGTAAAGTTTCATGACCCTAGGATTAATACTTTTGAGCTATGCGCGACACATTTTGAAAACAACAAATGTTTACTTAGTCAAGGGCAATAACTCTACAAATACTGAATAAATCCACACGCAAACACCCAGGTGCACAACTACACATGCTGACATATATTCCTATAAGTTTCATGACTCTAGGTCTAATTCTATATACGTGCGGCACAAAAAGAGAACGTACGGACGGACGGACAATGGTAAGGCTAAATTACCCCTATAGTGGGACACAAAAAGAAACTGTATGGTACCCCGCCGACAAGGGACGGCGGTACATAATGAATGCATCCCCAACGAGCCCTGGTAACACCGGACGACCAACACGGAACCTAGGAGGTCACTAAACAAACGCATATCACAAGGATAAAGAAAGGACGAGACGCTTCTAGCTAGTAGAATTATGGAGAACATAAGAAACACAAGGACACAAAAGAATGTATTTAATGAAAAAGCCGATAGGGACAATAGGAAATGAAATAGCAGAGTCAGTTAGAGGTGTTAAACGGAAAACCAATGGTAAAGGAATACTTAACTCTTTACAGAAGCATACGAAACAAGTGTCATTTCAATTAACAACACACGACATATATATTTAGGAACACAGAGGGACACCGTCTTTGAATGATTAGCGAATCAAAATCACTACCTGGTAGTTTATACTGGTAAAAGGTCCACTATACCTTACCCTTAGCCCACAATGTTTTGGAGACAACAAGCAACTAACAAAGTATTGCAAGTACTACAAAAGTCCCCTTGCGGTTGAAACCCCACAAGAATGATGTCATTAACATTTTGAAGGTCCATTGTCATTTAATTATGCCATTGTGGAAGACGTGAATGAACATGTTTGTGTTCTTAGTTTGTCTGTATCATAGTATGTGTTGGGCTTCCCTGTCAAATAAAGAAATAATTATAATTATGATTATACCACAGATAATAAAAAATCCAATTTTCTTAGGATGAATGTGTAGAACTAATAGTTCTAATATCAACTTTTCTCTATTTTAAGTAAACTTTTTGGGGAAGTTCAAAGTTCTTCAACAGTTTAATTCTGGAAACATGAACGCTTAATATTATTATGATGTATGAGTTTCTTGAAGTTTAAACTATATACTTAAAGAAATAAAAAAGTAAAAAATAAAAATTTCTAAAAAAAAGACCCAAGTTCAACGGGGGCATAATTCTGGAAAATGTCAAGTGTATTAAAATAAATAGCCTAAATATAAATTGAAAATCAATTATATAGCTATGACGTTATTTATTTTAAACAAAAAGTAGGAATGATCTATAACAAACAGTTCTAGATGATGAAAAATTTAGCATGCCTACAGTATATATCCGCGTAACGGCAAAAGTACATATAAGGCTATGCATCTACGCAGCAAAATTACATGAAAATTGCACACTCTGTTTGATTGAGTCTGTACATGAGGGATAATGAAGAAGTGCAACATCCCTCATTCCCCTAGCACCAGCTTGAGCGGTACTCAATTATCAACACTTAAAAGTGCTGGACTCGATAATCCCGAAGGACCAGAAATATGTAACAACACTGAAGTTAAGTACGCGGCAACTTTTTAAGGCTGTCACACAACACTTGACATCTGCTGTTGTGATGTATAAATATCTTGTAAAAAGCGATCCATCGGGAGTATTAAATACAGCAAAATTAAATGAAAATTGCAGACTTGGTTCGAGTCTGTACATCAGAGATAATAGAAAAGTGCAACATCCATCATGCCCCCTTGCACCGACTTGAGCGGCTCTCAATTCTCAACACATAAGAGTGCTGGGCTTAATGACTGAGTTGTTTGCCTTTTCAAGTAGCAGTCGTAGTTTTAATCCCATCTAACCCATGTAAGCAACCACCATTTTAGTGGTGCATTTCACACGAGGAAAGTCTTAAATGTGTTTGATTCGGAGGGATTAATTGATAATCTAATTAAACTTATTTGAAGATTTTTACCGTAAACGATTGTTGACAGATGTGTACACTGTTAATGTACATAGCTCAATATATTTTCAGAAATTAATTTTCACTACAAGATTTCAAGTCCAATTGGTTTTGATTTTTTAAATTTTCAATAAGACTTTTTCGTTTTTTGCTTTGTTTTGTTGTTGATTTTTTTTTTCGTTGTTGTCTTTTTCCTTTGTCAGAAGGTCACATTAAATGATATGTTAAGCATCAGATGAGAACCTTCACCATCGGTAATGAAATTTGAGGCACAGCTATTATGAAGTAACTTTTTCTATAATGTTTAGTCCACTGCATTTCACGTTCTTTTCGACTAGAAACGATGACATTTGCTATTTACTGTACATTGCTGTGTTGTGATATGTTATCACTCTAACAAAATATGCCACATTAAATATCATGATCGGAATTTTTTTTTTTTCGTTTTCCGCGATTTTATCCGATTTTTTAAACGATTGTAACTCGAAATCAATTATTTTTTTGACGACAGCTTTTGAAATTTAATTCGTTTTTGGTGAAAATCAGATCGTTTTAACGATAAAACAATGCTTATCTGAATATACAGTATATCTAGTATAATTAAAGAACCGACTAGGAATTTTGAAAAACATGGATTTTTTTTGAAAGACTGTCTTACAAACACTAGGTTATTACTTTTCTTTCTGGCTGAAGTCTGTCACTGCTTTTTATATGCCCGAAAGAATTTCGGACATATTATGTTATATCCCCCTGGCGTCCATCTGTCTGTCCGTCCGTTAGCAGTTTTGCTTCCGGAGCATAACATAAAGTTCATACACGACCCTTATTGATTAAGGATCATAAGGTCACAGGGTCACAATGATCTTTACTTTGACAATTGTGGTTTCTGGAGCATAACCATTTGTCCCACAGTGTACAAACTTCATAGGATTGTCAATATTGAGTAAAAGATCCCAATTAATTTTTGGGTCACAAGGTCAAAGGTCAAGGTCACTATAACCTTAAAACTAAAAACGGTTTTCGCCCAATAACTTAAGTATTTATCAACCTACAGTTTTAAAATTTTATAGGATAAACAATACATAATCCAATGCATAATCCAATTGCCCCTATTGATTTAAGGGTCATTAGGTAAAAGGTCAGGGTCACAATGATCTTAACGCTAAAAATTGTTGTCTTGAGCATAACACATGTTTTATTTGGCTTACAGTGTTCAAACTTCATAGGATAATTGCCTATATTAAGTAAAAAATCCATATCTATATTGGGGTCACAAGTTAAAAAGTCATTTTTATCAAATGACCTTAATATTGTTAACAGTTTATAACTGTAAAATTTCATAGGATGATCACTTATATTGAGTACATAATTATATGCCCTAAAAAGTTGCTTATATTATGTTTTACCCCTGGCGTCTTTCCGTCCATCCGCCATAGTATTTTTACTTACACGATAACAACTTGATGGTGGTGCTTTGGAAACAGCAACTGTATATATATAAGGTTCTTCAGCTATAAAGGAGGAATGCTTTTTGAAGGAATTAATAATTTATTTAATGTGTTTATATATCAATTTCTTTAATTTATGTAATTTATTTCTGTGATACAGAAGTCAGTTTATTGTTTGTTTATTCATTCAAGACTAACACTTTTCGAGCTTAAAATGCTCCACCTAGCGGTGCTCTTGTTAACAATGCATAACAGTTACTGCTTGTATCATACTTAAATGTCTTCCAGTTAATGGAAGTGTAATTATCAAATGGTTGCGAATGCAATCAAAAAGAAATCAAAATTATAAAAAACGACATTTGGTGATAGGTAAATTGAATGAATTACGTCAGTGTTATCTATCTTGTTAATTACGTTTGAAATTTAAGTACTTTATCAATTTCTGCTTTGCTTTGCTCTAAATAGGCCTGATAATGTCTGAACTTTAAGCAAATATAAATGTGATGTACCACATGGGGAAATCTTTAAAATGCTGTCTCTTAATTGAAAGTGTGAACACTCAAAGGCAAGAAATTAACAGGTTAAACAAATAAAACTTTTATATGCCCTTGCAAATACATACAAAAAACGACCAGAACAAAAGTAATCAATGTCTTAAAGAAGGCAAATTTAAAATATAATTAATAATCACTCCAGAAAATATCAGATTTGTCAGATTTAAGAAAAAAGTCAGTATTCAAATAATACTTAACATGTTATGTGCGATTGCAGAATTAACGACTATCTTTCCAGAACCTAATGACTATTTTTCTCATTTTTTTTAAATCTTTTTTTTTGGGGGGGGGGGGGGGGGGGGTTATTTTAAAATTCGTTTGAAATTGTCGTATGTATTATGTAAATTACTTTTTTATTCACTCAATTAGGTTGAAACTATTTCCAATTGTACAATTATGAAGACTCAAAATATTTTGTTTTGTCAGGTAAATTTGAATTTGAAACTGCAGAAGGAGATGGAAAAGAAAGGGGGAGGAAAAGTTAGGGCGAATGAGATAAAAGAGAGGCAGGAGGAGGAAATACAGGGCTGTAAGGTAAGGATGAAAATCATGTATTAAAATTTTTTATACGGAAATTTTCTATTATATCCTCTTAATAATATTTCGTAACTAAATTGCTTTTAGTTGTTCCAATGGTATTCTACATTATTTTTTCATTCATTTTGTACAAACATATAACTATGATTATATTTTCTTTGATTAAGATTAAACACAGTTTTTGTTTTCTTGTTTGATTTTGCTTTCATTTGAATTATCATGAAGTGTAATATGAAGTTAAAAATCGACGTGTTTCATGTTTGCTAATTTGACTTGTTTTAGGTGTAAATTTCGTTTATTATAAACTTTCCGAAATACAGGTGAGTTTTTATTGTGAAAATAGTTGGAATTGAATTCTAAAAGACATTGCCAGTTATTGTTTCGATTCCCTTGTTTATAACTGTTTTGCTTTTCAGTCCAGGTTAGCTACGCTGATAGCACGGCGAACACTTCGTTCTGTAAGCAAATTAAATTTATATATACACATATTTATTACAAAATGTAACAAGAATTTTTTTCGTAGTTAGTCTTATTTATGAAAGAGTTTAACTTATTGTTGTGTCGCCTCTATGGATAAGTTGCGACATATACAGATTACTTCTCCGTCATCTGTCCGTCCGTCACGAAACTTGTACGGACTACTCCTTATATACTACCGGTGCATTTTCATCCAAACTTAAAAAGAATGATCAGTGCTAAGTCTTGTTGTGCATATCTTCAGCATTTTGCGGTTCATTGTTTTTGTCACAGTTATGGCCCTTTAATAATTTTTATTTTTAAAGTTTGTCCGGGCTCCTCCTCTTATAACACTAGTGCAATTTCAATACAATTTTACAGGCAAGTACTTGTGCATAATATACATGTGTTTGGGTTGGAGAGATTTAGCTGAGTTATTACACTTGAATAACTACACAGAAGTTTGTCTTGGCTACACATCAGGAACTACTTGTGCTATTTCATCAACACTTTAGGGGAATGATCTAGCATCATATCAACATGTTTCGGTTCATTATTATTTGCCGGAGTTTTTGCCCTTAAATGATTTTAATTTTAAAATTTGTCCGGACTTCTGTTATACCACAAATGAAATTTCAATGAACGTTTACACGATTGATAGGTACTTCAAATTCTTGTGCATATTACACAGGTTTTTAGGTTGAATGACTTTTTTCCGAGTTATGGCTATCATGAGTCGACACATGTGATCACTGAATGCTTTTGTCATGATTTTATACCATATTTTAAAACAAAGAAATTTATAAGAAGTTAATAAGTTGATAATTATTTAAAACCTGCTAATTTTTAACTAAATCATTCTTTTGAGAGTAAAACATAGAACAAGAGCATTTAAATAAATTCATTTAAGTTTTGTTTATGGGGGTATTATTGAAAGTCCTTTATAAAACGTTAAAGGTACTTGGTATTACACAGACTTGTTGAAAAAAGTGGTTAATCAAAGAAGATTAAAATCGTCATGTTTTATGATTTGATTTTTAACGTCTCTAATGTGTCTTGACTGTAAATTCCGTTTTTCGTATTCTGAAATAAAAAGGGTAGTTTTATTGATGAATAGGTAGACAGGCGTGTATCTATTTCTTAAAGACAAGTATCAAGTATAAGTACTACTCTAATTTAATATTTTGATTGTCTTTAACATAAAAGCTTTCTTTTTCAGATTTTTCATATGAAAGAATTGTTTGCAATGTTGCAGTTGGTATGAACGTTTAATTCTATTCACTCAGAAGCATCAAACTATACTAACAACTCTTACATTTCTTTGTTTATCTTTTTAATTTATGAAAGAGTAAAGGTCATGTAAAATAATTAAAACATAAGGGAACCATAACATTTCATATAAACATTTTTCTCTTTATATACCAAATCTGGCATAACATCCATGTAATTATTTTAGAAAGAAAGCAAAGGTAAGCATTAAAAATAAGATCGATGTGTTATAAGTGTTTCATTCAGTATTGAAGTATTTACATTAATGATGACAGATATTGTCTCTAGAGAAATTCATGCTTGGTAACGTAATTAAATACTCATCTGTTTATGTTAAACAAGTCAATTTTAAGATGTCATCCTTAAGGTAAACTCTTACGTAGCTTTTTCTTCTTATGATGGTATTAATAGAACCATGAAAAAACATGAAGAAGATTGCCTATTAATAGGAAGTTAATTCATTATCATTTAATGTCATTAGATAATCACAGTGACACTTTGAGTAAAATTTTGCCCGATAAATGAATCAGAAGAAAGAGTTGGTTAGTGAAACTTGGTAGGTTCATTCCCTATTGCTAGTAGATGACCCTTATGATTTTGAAGTCATATGGTCAATGGTCAAGGTCAATGTCACTAGTTGTTTCTTTTTAATAGTTTCGATTAATTACTGTTACGTTTTATGTATCTTACAACAGCACATACTTTTTACACAATTATAACTATTGAAATAAGCTCAGGAACCCGTTGGTGGCAAATATTTGTAAACGATGTCTGCGTGGAGCATTTAAAGTGTCCTGTTTTGCGTTTTTATCAATGATATCTTTCCGTCAACTGAAATTGGTCAGTTTGGAGTATTAATTTTGAAGATATATCAGTAATAATAATGCTGCCCTCAGTTGTCTATAGAGAAATTATGCTTCACTAAACCGTTTCTCATAAGTATTAAACACCAAAATATAAACTTAAACAATTGTAACTATATAAGGCAAGTCGTTTTTGAAATCAATGGATTTGCTCATGAGTTTTGTCAGTTCCTGACAGAATAGACCTATGCAGTTTAAATATACTTGCCTCCAGAGAAAAGAAATAAAGTTTCAAGTAAACGGTAGGTAAAGTTAGGTTAAATCCATTATTACTGACATCTTTATTTAAGAATGAATGTTGACAAACGCGCTAATAAACGCTTGAATAATCAACTGTAGTAGCCAATAAAAAAGAGATTCATTTAACATTGTCACATGAAACAACATTGGTACGGAAAAGAAATCCGATATCCGGTACGCCCGGGGACGTATATCATTATTCGTAAATGAGTAGGCCTTAATCATATTTCAAGCTAAATTTTAAATCGATATATAAGTCATCATTTATATGATATAACTTATCAATTTTTAGTGCCCCAAACTTCTACAAATATAAAAAACCAAAGCAGTTGATTTGTTTGTTTGATACGATCCCGAATTTCGTTTGTTCCAAGTCACAGGTTGTCAGAAAACCGATCTGTTTTCAAAGCAAACATGTTGCGTAATGAACATTTTGTATGTCATTTAGATTTCTTTCAACTATATGATGTTTTTGAAGAGGGATTTCTTCTGAAGGCCGACTGCTTGACAGCAGTTTAAAATTTAACCCTAATTTTTTTATTCAATGGTCAATGATAGTTCAATGGACCTTTCCTGCGTTTCTAGTTTGATGTAAATAATATGACTGGCTGTCCAGCAAACAATAATAAAATAATGTTACTTGTTGACCTAGTTTACACAAAAAAACACACGGTTTTCTTTGTTCTTAGAGCGTTTGTGAAATTGAATAGTTAAGGCTGGACAAAATTTTATCTGCTGAAAACTTGAAAGGTCAATTGCTTACAAACAGTATCACAAATAAAACCAGTTTTTTTTTCTTAAAAATATATCCCCTGACATATTAGCTATTTATTATTTATAACTAAGCAACACGCAAAAGAATACTATAATTTATCAAATAAAAATAAAGAAATATGTGATTAATATTTCAGCTTCTGATTTTTACAAATTAAATTAACAACGTTTTACATCGTAGTACATTTACATTAAACATTGTAGTTAACATGTTCTATAGCAGCGGAAAGTTAACAACAATGTCTCTCAATTCTGTACTAAACTCGAACATAATTACTATCAGTATATAATAACCTGAAACTTCTCCATGTGAATCACATGTGGCGTACGAATTATTTCAAACACATTATTTTTCAATGAAAAACGTGTATCTCGCCCAAACTTAATACCCTTATCATGCCAACACCGACATATATGGAAAGCCATGGCTGTCTTTTATTGTTCTTTTTCAATTAATTTAACCATTTGGATAATATATAAATTCACTTCGACTATATATGAATTGGAAACACAATATATGAAACCATACCGTCGGTGTATGAAACCGAGGTAGCAATATATAAGTTGATTTTGTCAATATATGATTCCAGTTCTTCAATATATGGTACCAAAGTATTTCGGTACCATATATTGAAGAATTGGTATCATATAATGTGATGACCAACTTATATATTGCTACTTCGGTTCCATACATTGTAAAATGAATTAATATATTGATAATTCGGTTTCAAGGGCGTCTGGTTCCATATATGGCTATTTTGGTACAATATATTGAAGAATTTGTTTCATATAATGTGATAACCAACACATATATTGCAACTTCGGTTCCATACATTGTAAAATAAATTAATATATTGATAATTCGGTTTCATATAAGGGCATCTGGTTCCATATATGGCTATTTTGGTACCATATATTGAAGAATTGGTATCATATAATGTTATAATCAACTTATATATTTCTACTTTGGTTTCATAAATTGATAAATTAGTTTCATATATTGTAAGATGAATTAATATATTGATAATTCGGTTTCATATCAGGACATCTAGTTCCATATATGGCTATTTTGGTACAATATATTGAAGAATTGGTATCATATAATGTCATAACCAAATTATATTTCTACTTTGGTTTCATACATTGTAAAAAGAATTAATATATTGATAATTCGGTTTCATATAAGGATATCTGATTTCATACATGGCTACTTTGGTACCATATATTGAAGAACTGGCATCATATATGAAGAAAATCAACTTTAAATTTATATTGCTACCTCGGTTTCATACACTGACGTTATGGTTTCATATATTGTAACTGTGGATTAATATAATGGATTCCGGTTAAATAAGAAGGTATTTTCAATTCATATATAGTCGAAGTGAACTTATATCTTATCCAAATGGTTAAATAAATTGATAAAGAACAATATAAGACAACCATGGTTTATCATAGACATATCCCGGATTTCATGTCCTGACCACAGCTGCCAAAACCGAAATATCACGGATTTGTTGGTAATAGGGGAATACACTAATCAGCACTGTCATACTAATAAGAAATAATTAACAGTAAACGCAGGAGAAATTATCTTAATTGCTCCTATAATCTGGGGTCAAGTTAAACAAAAATAAACCATAGTGGTGCGAATGTTTTCAGTTTTATTCATTTGTTAAAAGTTCAGAAAAATGGCAGAAGGGTAAAATAGACGAATGCATGTGCAATATATCTTAGAACAATTGTTTGATGATGAAAGTATATATAATTTTAGTTCTAGTGACACTGATAATTATTTTGATCAGTCAGAAAATGAGCAGGAATATATTAAGGATTTATTACATAACTTGCTTAATAATTTTGGTACATTTTTACATTTCTTATGATATTTGTAAGCAATTTATAAGCTTAAACTCAATGAAATAAAATAATTTTTATATCATTACGTAGAAACTTTAATCTTTTTTCAAAAAATATATAGGTTTAAAAAAACAAATAGTAATAATAATAATAAGGTAGAACGAGAGGTTTAAATCACCTTACCCCAATAAAACCTTAACCCAGCTGTTGTTAGGCACTGCAGGTAGTTAGCAGTGTTAGTTTACTCGGTATGATCAGGGTTATGCTAAAGGATTCCTGATATATAGACTTACGATAACAACAGTAGTAGTTTGGCGAAGGTTTATATAAGTAAGTTAAGCTTATGCATTTACAATGAAAATATAACCAAAGTATAGATAATATTTAAAATGATGCGATTGTTAATCAAAATAAAAAACAACAACATTACATCCGCTAGCGTGTCTCGAACCCGTACCATGAAATGATCTGGTAATGTCCCGGATTCCTTTACGTGAAAAATACAAAATAGTCGTTGCTATTAACTTTACAAAGTGAGTCTAGACTTAATTTCCTTATTTGTTGATAAAATGAAATAGAGAAATAGAATTCCTAAAAAAATCCAAAAGAGCAAGATTGAAAATGTTGCAGACTTGCTTTGATTGAGTTTATTCATTGACAGTACTGTAAAGCAAAACTTACTGTCCACGCCCCCTAGCACAGTCTTAAGCAGTATTCAACATTTAACATGCTGACCGAAATTGTCTTCAATATTTTTTCCTTTGGTAAATGCCTTAGTATTTTGTTTTTAATTTGCTTGATATTTCAAAGATTTGTTATTGATTGTCTTCGTCTCTTATGTGAAATGTCTCAACTCTAAATTCCGTTTTTTACGTTTTCTAAAATGAATAAGGGAGTTGTATTGGTGTATAAATAGATATGTATCGAACCCTTTCACAGACAAGTATCCATCTGTTATTCATTGTTTTGATTCTTTGCACAAAGAACCTTGTTTTTCAAATGGGTTATCCATTTTAGTGTCTTGTTTTGGGCTTTGACTTCTGTGTATGAAAATTTAATTCTATCTCAGATATAACCATGTTTTTTTTTTTTTAACTTTCTCTGTATATACCAAGTGTTTGGCATAACGTCAGTATAAATCGAAAGTGAACATAAAAATAAAATCAATATACATCGATATAAATGTTTCGTTCGGTATTGAAACACTTAGAGTAATGATAACAGATATCATCCTTAAGGGTCCGTCACACCATGACGTTCTGGTCAACGCCCTCTGAACGTTTCAATCGTTCAATTTTTGAACGTTCTTGAATGAAATTGACACATCTAGCGTGTGATTAACGTGCGTCTAACGCACGAGAAGCGTGTAACAGCGACGAAGTAAGAAACGAATGAAACCCATTAACGTGTGCTAACGTCCCACTGGCGCGGGAAGAATTATTTGTTAACGCCTGACGAGCGTTGTGAGCGTGTGACTAACGCGTGAAAAACGACACAAGCGTCTTGATAGCGTGTTGATTTTAAAGTCTAAACAGGTACAGAATGCTGAACGTTTCATAGTGAATTCAGTTGTTCTTGTGTGTTTGAATAGTCAGCACCATTACAACAAGAAAAAAGTTTGGATGAGGGCTTCTACTAGCTACATTTTGTATTTCAAAATCCTTGACGTCTTTATATTTATATATATTTATTTTTGATTTAGTCCAACACTGTCGTCTTTGTAGGGGTCTTCTTTGTGGATTAATGTCGGGGTCTTCTCTGAGAGTGATTCCCCTCGATATGTTTGTTCAGTACATCTACTTGATGCTTGGCTATAGCAAACACATACGAATAGCCTACTAAATCTTTATATGGATCTTCCATAGTAAGTGTTCTCTACGATTGCCCAAAGTCAAATGAACCTTGCTTAGTCGTTCGTAAAAATGACGATCAATTGACTCAAAAAGGACGTTCCTTTACCTTTAGTCACACGTTTTGTGCGCTTGAAGACCGTTCAGCGGTCGTTGACAGGTCGTCTAAAAGTCGCCAGTGAGTCGTTCACTGCAAAGCAAACGATTAGTAACAACCAAGTCGCGAATGAATAACGGCTGTCTACCGATAGACGAACGTGTGCAACGCTCAGTGAAAGTGAGTAAAACGTTCCATGAACGTTCTCCAGCGTTTGAAATTTAAACATTGAAGGACGCTGTTCTGAGTGAGACCTTTTGTACATGTTCAAAACCTTGTTCGGATCAGCGTTCTATGCCGATTCCTGGCGATTACAGACATTCACTGGCGTTCACACAACGTTTTTCTGGCGCTATCCTAGCAACCATGGGCCAAGTTCACCAGAACGCTGACCAGAACATCATGGTGTGACGGCCCTATAAGAGAAATTCGAAATTCATGCTTTGATGACGTAAACAAATACAATTATGTTTGTATTAAACATGTCATTTTATGATGTCATTCATTCAGTAAGCTCTTACGTAGCCATTTTTCATTATGATTGAATACAAAAATAATATTGCCTATGATTTGTTAATGCATTCAGTCTATTTTGAGGTCATTTGGTTAAAAAATATAGGTCACAGTGACCCGTAGGATAAAATCTTGCCCGATCTATAATGCAGAAAAAGCGAATAAGTAAATACATTGCCCATTGCTAGTTCATAACCAATATGACTTTGAAGTCAGAAGATCAAAATAACAGCGTAAAGTCCTTGGCCGATCAAGAACTTGTTCTAGTTGTTTTCTTTTATATATAAACGATTATTCTACTTACATTGTTAGCATGTTACAACAGACACACTTAAAGCTAAATTACAAATAACGTCTCGTTTAATGTCTGATAACCCTTTACCTCATATATACGCGAAACAACACATTTTCAACCCGCCCCCTCTTTTAGGCCTTAAATAGTGAAAAAAATGTCCTGTTTGGGCCCCCAACACATGTTTTCGTTTGAGAAATGTTGATAAAAAAATGACCACTTTTTTGGCGCGGCCCCCAACCAAAAGATACACCAGGGGGTTGACAGAAGGGGGATGTGCCAAAGAAAATTGGACTTTTGAGAGGCTTAAAATGACCCCAGATCGATCATAAGGTAACGTGTAACCAGCGCTGAAAAGCATCTGACTCTATCTCAATCCATTGAGAAGTTGCAGGACTTTGAAATCAATTTTGATGGAAAAAATCAACGCAAAATAGTTATTTTGGCAATTTTGAGATGCCCCCTCGTTGCCATGGTAACAGGAAATTTGAGCCTGAGGATGTTGTGACAAAGGCAATGGTCCAGTTAACATTTGTGGCAAGTTTTTATAGTTTTATAGCAATTTGAACTTGTAACGGGAGACTTTTCATTGCTAAAATACTATAAATTCTTTGTTGATATCTGACAGAATAGACAATCAGCTTAAAATTTAGCTTCGACTCTTCTATTCAACAATGTGTCGATGAACCTTTTCTTTGTTCACAATTAGTTGCAAAGTGATTGTCTGATTATCTAATTGATAGGTGCCCTAGTCTTTTGAAAACTTTAGCCCGCTTATAAAAGATAACAAAAGTAAAGATTATTTATAATATATTGCAATTGTAAATTAAAACAATAACATTTACTGATTTTCTCGAACCCGTACCAAGCGCTCAAAAGTATGAATATTTTTTGAGTACACCAATGTGAAAAAAACATAAAAAAATGACGGTGCAATTAACACTGCAATAGTTAGTCTCGACTATGTTCACCTTTATATCCGGATAAGTCTATTCATTGTTTACATATAACGTCTTTTTATTCAAAATGTAGAATCCGTAACAACAGTTTCACAAACAAAGCCGCGTGTTTTTATTAACTAGGTCTGGTCAGCCAGTATTTGCATAAAGTTGAACAAAACAGAATAGGTTTAAGTTTCCTGAGATCTAGATTACCCTATGTTAGCGCTTCGAGTTATAGATACAACATATATTGTTAATTAAACATTTATAGCCCATTACACAACGATATTTTAGCAGTATCATCCACAAATACTTGTAAATTTGTTAAATAATAAGACAGTTGTTTGAGTACTTAAATATCTGCCACAGTTGACTATTTCTTATAAGAACGTAAAGAAAAGATGTGTTTCATTATTTTTTATAAACTGTCTCCGAATTCTTTAAAAACTCGTTTTAAATGTCATTTTCTGACATATTTGTTATGATTTAATTGTTATTCATTAAAGTTTCAATATATTTATCACTGCTATGATTTGCGTGCTTAAATTAAATTTTAATTGTTTCAGAAATTTGCTGCACAGTTTCAACAAGAAACGATGGTAAGATTACACACAAATTATAGGAAATGACAATTTTACTTGTATTATGAAAAAATTGTAATTTTCTTATTTATTTAATCTTTTTTTTTTATTTTAGCTCAGCTGACCACGAAGTGGTCTAGGTGAGGTATAGTGATTGGGTTATGTCCGGCGTCCGTCGTCGTGCGTCGTCAACAATTGGGTTGTAAACAGTCTAGCAGTCACAGTTTTGATTGGATCATCATCAAACTTTGTCAGAATGTTTGTCTCTCGAGTTCGAAGATTAGTTGTCTTGGATCAAAAAACTAGGTCACAGGAGCTTAAAATAGAAAATGCTTGTTAACACTCTAGTGGCTGCAGTTTTGATCCAAATATTCTGAAAATTAGTCAGGAATGTTGTTTTGATGATTTCTAGGTCAAGTTCGAAGATAGGTTATCTCCGGTTAAAAACTAGGTCACAGAAGCTAATAATATAAAAAAAGCTTGTGAACACACTAGGGACTGCAGTTTTGATACAAATATTCTGAAAATTAGTCAGAAAATTTGTTTTGATGATTTTTAGGCCAAGGTCAAAGATGGGTAATGTCCAGTCAAAAACTAGATCAAAGGAGCTAAAAATAGAAAAATCTTATTAACACTCTAATGGCTGCAGTTTTGATCCAAGTATTCTGGAAATTTGTCAGGAAGGTTATTTTGATGATTTCTACGTCAAGTTTCAGAATGGGTCATGTCCGGTCAAAAACTAGGTCAAAGGAGCTAAACATCGAAAAATCTTGTTAACATTCTAGTGGCTGCAGTTTTCATTAAAATATTCTGGAAATTTGTCAGGAATGTTATTTTGATAATTTCTAGGTCATGTTTGAGAATGGGTCATGTTCGGTCAAAAACTAGGTCACAGGACCTAAAAATAAAAATAAAAGCTTGTTAACACTCTAATGGCTGAAGTTTTGATCCAAATTGCCTGGAAATCAGTCAGAAATGGTGTTTTAATGATTTAAGGTTAAATTTGAATATAGGTCATCTACGGTCAAAAACTAGGTCACAGGAGCTTAAAATAGAAAAGCTAGTTAACACTCTAGTGGCTGCAGTTTTGATCCAAATATTCTGGAAATTTGTCAAGAAGGTTGTTTGATAATTTCTAGGTCAAGTTCGAAGATTGGTCATGTCCGGTCAAAAACTAGGTCACAGGAGCTAAAAATAGAAAATTCTTGTTAACACTCTAGTGGCTGCAGTTTTGATCCAAATATTCTGGAAATTTGTCAGGACGGTTTGTTTTGGTGAATTCTAGGTCAAGTTTGAAGATTGGTTATGTCCTGTCAAAAACTAGGCCACAGGAGCTAAAAAAAAGAAAAAGCTTGTGAACACTATTGGCTGCAGTTTTGATCCAAATAAGAGAAAACCATAGCATAACATTTAACCATTTTTTTATTTTCTCTATATATATCACGTAACGTCCATATTATTATCATATAAAGACTTTGTGTTTATAAATTAAATGAAAGCATAGAAATAAAATCAACTAGTTATAAGTGTTTTGTTCAGTATTGAAGTGATGATGACAAATTTTGTCTCTCCAAACATTCAGGCTCGCTGATGGCAACATTTTCTAATCTGAAGTGTCATTCAAGTTAAATGATATTTAGATAAGTCCGTTTTCACCTTAGATATTTATATAATACTTTAAAACTAAGCAATGAAACAGTGGGAAAAATAATAATTTTTAACTTATTATAAATTATCCAACTGTCATTCATTGTTGTGGTTTCCTTTCACAAAAAGCTTTGTTTTGTTGCCATAAAAAAGCAGTCATCTGAATATAAGCTTTCGGTATGAAAATTAATTTTATATACACAGATGACTCAAATTATAAAACAATACTTATTTTCCTTTTCTCATATTATTTATGAAAGTGTAAAGCTCATTTTCATGTCAAATAATAAAAGTTTAGGGAAACCATCATGCGATACAAGAGAGGTTTTACGCAAGCGTAACATGAATGCAAAGGAATTTGTTAAATGAAAATGGATAAGTCAAACGATACCTGAAGAAAGTTGCAATGACTGTTAAATGATGTATCATAAAAGTATCAGATTATGTGATAATAGTATTTTGAATTCTCTTAAAAATACTAAATGACCATATACTATACTAGGCACTTAAAATTATTGGCAAATTATGGTGTTTAGCTTGTTTGCCCCAAGTTTCCCCCGTTCCCTTTAATTTTGCAGAATTCGTACAAAAGTGTTCCTTTCCTGGCCTGTCAGACTCTTGAGTCACTTCTACATGTACCATAAGCACATTGTTTAGTTGTTTAGGAAAATATTTACAGTCTCGCTTGATGCCTCAACTTTTGCATATAGCGGAGGAACCTGTTAATGCAAACTCTTTTAAATGATGTCTATCATGAGCATGAAAGTGTCTTGTATGAACTTTTGATGAAATTTAATCATTCAAGTCAATGATATTATTAAGATAAGCTAATTTTTCATGTTAGATATTCATACAATATTTTAAAACTAAGCAATGAAAAGAAGGTAAGATGTATAAAATTTGAAAACTTTTTAAAGACAATTATCCATCTGTCATTCATTGTTTTGATTTCCCAGTTAGAATATTTAAAAGCTTTTCTTTTCAATAGATTGATGATACACGCGCGACGACGGTCTTCGACAGTCCCGTAGGACAGGAAATGAAATCCCTGGTATGAAAATTTAATTCTATGTTCAGTGATGAATCAAATTATAATAACACTATTAAGTTTTCTCTGGTATCTCATTTATGAAAGAGTAAAGCCCAACTTCATGTCAAATAATGAAAATATATGGAAACCATATCGTAAGATAGACAGGTTTTGTTTATAGATCGAAGGTTAGCATAGAAAAAGGATGTGTTGTAAGTTTGTCGTTCATAGTTAAAGTACTTACAGTAATGACGACCGATTTTATCTCTAGAGAAATTCAAGCTTAGGTAAGGTGCACAAATACATGTCTGTTTGTTTTAGACAAGCCATTGTCTATGACTCATCTATATAAAAGTAAGCATTTACGATGCTATTATTTCTTTATATTATTTGATATACTATAAGACTATTTAAGTGAACATTTAATGGTCATTGTTCTCTTTTCAGGTTGAAATAAAAAATCGTAAGTACAATATTCAAATAAACCGTATCATCTGGTGCTTAAAAACCGGGCTTTTATGACATATTAATATGCATTCATAGATTTCCATATTTGTATCTTCCTATTTAGTTTTTAACAAGACCAAAGCAGCGTCTAAATTTTAACAGTAGGTCAGTGTATTTGTAACATTTACGACAGTGTATATACACAAATACAGCTTGTTTTAAGTCAGCATCATAATTGGTAATCGTATACAAATAAAACAAGCAATTTGCAGCACATCTATTTCGATCAATTCTTTTCCAATGTAGTTTAAAGATAATTTGCTTTAGATATGACCACGACGAATATGGACATCAACTGAAGATTGTTTACCATCGCGTCAACATTTTCTTAAGAATCGTAAAGCTACAATTCAAATCAAGTCTAGTTTTAAAATTGACAGAAATTAGAAAAAAATGGAAACAAAATAATTAAAATTATTGGGTTTGTTCAAAAGGAATGATGTTATATCGCTATGAAGAAGTATTCAACCTCTTACAATCTGACAAGACGTGACAGCGTGATCAGCATGTAAAAAAAATGTAACGACACTAATAATTGTAATTGCTATAGGAACGTAATGAATATTCAAATCACTATTGCTTAAAATCTAATTAAATATATGAATGCTTATATCAGAAGTTTTTTTAAAATAAACTTAGTTTATTTTCAGAAATACAACACTTGGAGAAGCTTATTAGATGTAAAATCTGTCTTGACAGGGATGCGTGCATGGCGTTTTTTCCTTGTCGTCACATGGCAACATGTGAATATTGTGGAAGCTTTCTCGAGAAGTGCCCTGTTTGCAGAGCTTTAATCGAAGAGGCAGTAAAAGTAAATAAAAAGCAGTAGAATGAGGTTTTTTGGTTTTTATTTCAACGGTATATATTTGGTGGTTTTGGATATACGTAACTTATCTTTGTATTCTTTAATGTATTTTGTCAAAGTAGAAAGATAGTAAATGGGCTTTTCCCACTGAATCATTTCATGTATATAGCTATGATATAATGACACAATTATATGTTCATCTTTTCGATTCTGTTAACAACATTACAGCTTAGAAAATATTCAATATTATTTTTTTACACAGACTTCTTCTTAAACCATACAAACCATACAAACCATAAGACGTTATTATTCGACAAATACTTACAAAGTGTAATTTGAAAAAAGATATCGGGTTAGTTAGGGACCTTTTATTATTTTTTTTGTGTTATCAAACATGCTTTTCTTATATTTTTAAATTATTTGCATTCTGAACTACCAAGAATATAATGCTGTTTGTTTATAATTTAAATAACAACACACAATTAAAATATATGGTGTAAATTTGTTTACTTTTCTGTTAAAGTGACATTCATATGCCCATACAAGGATAGATAGTGAGTGAAAAGGTGAAAGTCAAAATAAGTTTTATTTTTTCATAATTCCTTTTTAATTTATTAATTTACTTTGCATAAACAATAAATAACGCAAGGATTCAGGAAAAATGATGTAAATATCCGTTATAATTTACCTGTAACGTTCAAATTATAAAAAGAGTGGGGCAGTCTTTCTAATCTTTAGGCAGATTTAAATTTTATCCTAAACATTTTCAAATATCAACTTTTGGTCAAACACCATTTTAACTTTTGAAATTTAAAGACAATTCAGCTGACCTTGACTATAAAAATATGAGCATAATGTCACTTTAAAGCTGCATGCCTCCAGATGGGTCAAAATATTTCAATAAAATCAAACTTGAGAAATATGTACTACGATTTTAGGAAACGTAAAATGGTTCAAGATTCAAGTAATATCTCACATGTTATGTGCGGTTAATGACTGATTTTTTAGTATTAACAACTATATTTCTACTGCTTACTAACGCAGTAAGGGTTATTTATGCATATTTTGACCACTTTTTGGTCATTTACATGGATTGTTAATGCCATTGATAATGTGTAAATGACTTCTTTTTGGTTATTTCACAATATAATACATTCAAATACATTTTCAAAATTTTCATGAAAATTAGCATGAATCAGGAGGCGTTCTGCTTTGATGTGACTTTTTACGAACGGACCGTTTGTTGATGTTGCTTAAAGACTATGTTCATTCTTTAGTAAACTATTTAAATTACAGAAGTGAATAGAAAGCTATGACTGTCTTAATGAATTTGTCTAATTTGAATAAAAGAATTAATAAACTATATATGGGAAGCTGCGTTCCCCTATTTCGTTGAAAGAAAGTTGTTGTTGTTTTTTTTTCTTAAAAAAAACTCTGCATAATACTGTATAGCTTAGTTTAGCAGCAAAAAGGAACTCTACTTAGCCGTTTTAGTAATTGATATAAGTAAGCCATACTTATAATAATTTTTTTATAATAATGCTAATCTTATTATCAATAAATTAAGCCAACGTGTATCATATTTTAGTGCCGATACTATTGATAATGTTGCAAACTTGTCTGAAGAGTTTTGTTTACTATTTTGTCCAAAAAGTTATAATTATTGACATTCTAAAACCAATTTAAATTCAATTTTAGCAAAGAATATTTAATTGAATTGAATAATAAAGTTGTAGTAATTTACAAAGAATAAATAGAAAAAAACTATTTTTCAACTAAAATTTCAACCGAAATATTTTTCTATTGATTTCTCAATTATTACAGATATTGTTTACTTAAATTGTAAATTTGATATGGACTTCCACTTTTTTATATAAAATTTACTCTTTGTAATCATTTTTGTATATTTCTAAAGCATCATGACGCCTTTAATCTCGAGAGATGTTTTGCAAATCATGTTAAATGTTGCTGTCCACAATGCAAGGACTTATTTTTACCATATATTTACAGCCCATTGCCATTAATTGTTCTTTAATGGATATTTACAAAGAATTTTATGTATATTTATTGGTAACTTGCGCTGAAGAGAGTAGCACAAAATGTTAACAAATGTAAATGCTTATTACAGTATATGAATATTGTTTTTGTAATTTATTAATATCATTCACGGAATTAATATGGTTGTTGGAATTATTTCTTATTTCAGGTCAATGTCTTTATTAGCTATGTAAAAAATTATTGTTTGGATTTATGAATAAACTTTCTTCTATCTACTTTTTCTTATTATTTTTCATAAAAAAACTGCCATATAAGCAATTATCTGCTTGAACTGGGCATTTCTTCAAAACATCATCTTTTGGATTTGAACACAATAATCTTTTTTTTTTCATATTGCTTGAGCTTTTGAATAAATGATTTACTTAGACCATGCACACACCATTCACCTTCAACCTTTGTATATTTTCGAAAAAGAAATCATTTTGACTTCATTGTTGTAGAATAAGAATAATGTAGAATAATGCACAGTTCGTGTTCAAATGCGTAGGAATATTATCACAAAAGCGGACAGGACTGTGAATAATTACAAACTGTTTATGCATTTGAAATAAACCGTGCATTATCATACCAAAATGCAAGAAAAGATTTCATTCTTACATGGTCATAAAGAGGATTATTGATAAAAATATGCTGGACATTATTAAACATAGAGGTAATTTTCTTGACACGAATAGGTTTATTAATATCATATTTGACGCAATAATTATGCCCCCTTAGCATTTATTTTTTATTCTGTTCTTATTTTGTGTACTTATGCACTTGATTGTCCTATCTGTTTGATAGGGGAATAGTGTAAGAGGTCTTTATCAAAATCTGTGGAATGTTAACAAAGTAAAAATATATATAAGTAAAATGTGTGTATAGTCTATCCCATTAAAAATGAAAACGAACTTTTGCCTGGTATGAATTTATTACAAATCGACGTTGAATAAAAAATAAAACTTTTTGTAAACTAAAAAAAGTCACCGTCGAAAATTTTCAGGATTTTTCTCTAAAGTTTCTACTTTTCTTGTAAAAGCTAAGTTTAATTTCTCTACGGCAAGTCTCTGTTCATGATTATTTTACTAAGCAGGATCTACAAAATGTAACAGTTCAGTTGAAATGCATGATGGAAAACTTTAAAATATGGAAACTAAGCAACAAGAACATCGAGTCACATGGAGTAGGTCAAGAAATTGCACTTACTTTAATTAATAAGCTAAATAGAATCCCTATGAATTTCGAAACAGATCTTTATAAACGTCACGACAAATTTGCATTCTAAAGACTACTTCATTTCCAGATTCCAATATTTGTTCGCCAAAACTCCTGAATGACATGACGACTCCTACACTTACGATGATCCAGATCTTTTTAAACTTTTTATCCGCCTCATTATTAAAACCCGGTTCCAAATCCATAATTCAAGAAGAGCCCATCAATTTTAGTTGTCATCATCACCACAGGGACCCAGCACAGTGTTGGGATAGTGTAAAATAGTAATTCTAGAAAAAATATATACTGTACATATATATATATATATATATATATATATATATATATATATATATATATATATATATATATATATATATATATTATATATATACAGTATATATATTTTTTCTAGAATCACATTTTTTACACTATCCCAACACTGTACTGGGTCCCTGTGATCATCACAATGCTTATAACTCTTTAAAATGGATTCCTGACGATGAAAACTTTATTACGTCAGCTACAATTTACGAAATACATGACGTTACAAAAATGTCTTGCGCTTTTTATGGATGATTCCAGTTGCGGCATTGACAGAGGGCAGTTAGGCATAATTAACCTGGCTCATACAGATAGTTTTAAGCATTGAGATAAATTTGTCTTGATGGCTTTCAAAATAATTTTTGTATACGTAGATTGTGCAGTAACTGTTAAAATTACACCTTCAATTCCTATATTAACAATAAAACTTTTGATTACATTTAAATAATTTTAAACGCACTTAATGTCATGAATCTATAACAGTATAATACTTCTTCCATTAATTCACATATAACCTTCGTTTTGATTTTATGTTTTTAAACTATTTACATATTTCTCAGAAATGATTTCACAATATATTATCTCGTATCTCTTGTCAGATTTGCATGATAATTTATTTGTTGGCGATTTCCAACGTCAGGTTTCTGTTGTGAAAGTTGAAAACTACGAAAAGTTTTAGCACACGAACATCGCACCTGAAATATGAAGGGTAACATATTTTTCTATCCCATCGAACCTGGTCAAATATAATTAGTTTTAAATAGATATGATACATACTAATTGACAGAATTCAGACAACTACATTATTATGTAAATTAATCATTAATTAGCGAAGAACCATTTTTAGTCTTCTAGCTATTGTAGTGTTCCCGTTCCCCTACGACGCGTTGCAGTATTCAAGATACGCGCTTGATTGAAAAGCTATATAATCAAAACACTTCATTGCTCTTTTTCTCTTAAAAAAATATATAATACGACAGTATATCATGGTAATTATATAAATCTTTGTGTGATTCATAAAGCGGTTACTGATATTTTGACTTCAAATGATTTTGATTATTATGATGGTTTGCAAGTAAAATTGTCTTTTTAACACCAACTGTTTTCTCATTTTTCTTTTTAATGATAACATTTAGCTATTGATCAGTAAGTAAATATGAATAATCATTTTTTTATAGTTACCGAGTCCATTTCACGCAAATTGTGAGACGAACCCTAAATGACGTGTGTATGGACGCCGCCATTTTTAAATGGACGTCACGTCAGGTTACAACGTAAGTGAACGGGAAAACTATAATTTAAACATTTTTATCATATTGTCAACTTTATGAAAAGAAAAAGAAAGCCATGCCTAGAGATATTGACGTCAGGGTTAACATGACATTAGTTTAATTTATTTTACTATTATATTTAATAAAAAAAATGGAATATTCAAATTTGGTGGGACAGAATATAGTAACTACACTGTCATGTTAAAGGTGTGAATGAAATCTATTGATTAGAATTCAAGAAAAAAACCTGGACAAGAAAGGCTTTGCAATCATGCCATTGTTAAAGTGTTAAAGTAAATATCTAGTGAATGATACAGATTTTTTGGTCAATTCGAGTATAAACATTTACTATTACTACCATCAAACAGAAATGAAAGAATTATGCAAATAGGACGATACCAAAAAATGCATGTGTCATTTACGTGTAAACAATGAATAAAAGAGCAAAATGAGACATTAAGACGAAACCAGTGCTTGGGAATCCCAAAAACCACGGAATTCATGCCAATAGAGATATCTTAAGAGTAG